CCTTCACCCTCATTCTAACACTATTTGCATCTTACGCTATCTTTCGAAACGTTCCCCCCCTCTCCTCCCTTCCCCTCTCCTCCCTTCCCCTTACACCCTCCTCCTTCCTCCCTTCATACTACGATACTCCATCCTCCACATTTTACTGCAATTTTCTGCTTTAACTCTTCCTTCAGTGTTTATTATTTTATTTTCATTTTTATTTTTGTCAAATATGTTTTTGTTTTCTGAATACATGCATTGCTGTCTGTGAATGAAAACTGCTTGCCGTAAAAGTTTGGAATTTGAAAAGATGCAGTTACCCTAACTGAACTGCTTGACGGTTCAATTCAAAGAAACCCATATGAGACATTTTTCTAAAATCGCCTTTTTATTATTATTTTTTAAATTATTAATATTTTTTTTGGTGCTTATCCGTGGTCGCAGATCTTTTTCCATCAGATAATATATATCTTTTTAATGTGCAGATCTGACGGTAAATAACTTAATTACATTCCGATCCTCACGTTGAAAAAATTGATATTTTGACGGAAAAAGATCCGCTGCCACGGGAAAGCAGTAAAAAAAAAGTCTGTCAATTGTAGAAAAATGTCAATTCTAAAAAAATGTCAATTCTAAAAAAAATGTCAGTTCTAGAAAAATGTGGCATTCGTGTTTCTTGAACTGAACGGTACATCGAGCTGGAATGTGTGTCTGTGCCTGAGTGTGGCTGTGCACGTACGTTGTTGATCGTGGCTTTGTGCTGCTGGGATGTTGTCAGTCTCTGCTACTGTTTGTGTGTGCCCCAACATGTTGTTGTTGTTGTTGTTGTTGTAGTTGTTGTTGTTGTTGTAGTTGTTGTTGTTGTTGTTGTTGTTGTTTTCAAGTCCCTTTAGCTGCGAGCATTTCTCTCTGTGTGCCCCAACATACAACTACCCTCAGCTTGGTCAGAACTAGTTTTTGTAATTTTATTACGTTTCTGTATTTCTGTTATATGTGTATGTATATTATGTTTTTATATGTGTATGCGTATTATGTCTCTGTATTTCTGTTGTATGTGTATGTGTATTATGTTTCGGTATTTCTGTTATATGTGTATTATGTTTCTATATTTCTGTTATATGTGTATGTGTATTATGTTTTTATATGTGTATGTGTATTATGTTTCTGTGTATCTGTTATATGTGTATGTGTATTATGTTTCTGTGTATCTGTTATATGTGTATGTGTATTATGTTTTTATATGTGTATGCGTATTATGTCTCTGTATTTCTGTTGTATGTGTATGTGTATTATGTTTCGGTATTTCTGTTATATGTGTATTATGTTTCTATATTTCTGTTATATGTGTATGTGTATTATGTTTTTATATGTGTATGTGTATTATGTTTCTGTGTATCTGTTATATGTGTATGTGTATTATGTTTCTGTGTTTCTGTTATATGTGTACACGTATGCGTGCTGTATACTTACCAATGAAGTATCTGTGCGAGTGCATGTTTCTTTCTCTGTGCGCTGAACAAAAGAAAAGCAGGAAGGTCTCGTATGGTTTTATTTTTAGGGCTTTTGGAGTTGGGTTGTTTTTTTTACTTTGGACAGGCGAAAATTTCTTTTATAGACGCTCTTAAAATAAATGACGAAAATAGCCTACTATGCTTTTTCTTTTGTGCGTGTGGTTGGAAAAGTTCTAGATTTTTTTGGGTTTTTGTAGTTGATGGGGTCGGACACGCCCAGAATGTTTTGTTTTAGTGGCCATCAGAATCTGGCACCTTTGTGTGGCTGACCGTGGGTTGCCTCTGTCCACAGTGTCCTTGGGTGGTTGGCGGGTGCTCTGCTGTTGTTTGCTCCTTCTTTCCTATCAAACATCTATCGTCCTTATCTCCCCTTCTTTTAAAAATAATTTTTTACTCTCTTGTAGCACCTTCAATCTTCTGGCGCTCATATTATGTATGACCTTATGCAGTTCAGCGCTGTCCGTAAAACCTCTACTAAAACTACAACTAAACTGTCCACAGTGTCCTCGGACGCCCAGGGCAGTCTCCTGGCTCTACGCTCGGGCGGCCTCAGCCTCTCCATGGCCTCCCTCTACTCAGGTCCGGATGACTCAAAGCTTGATGCTCTATTTCTCTTGTTGTTTCCCTCTCATATCTTTCTCCGTCTCGTATCTTTTTCTCTGTTTTATTTCTCTCTTTTTAATTATTCTGTTTCTCTTTGTTTCTCTTTGTTTCTCTCTCTCTCTCTCTCTTTTTCTTTGTCTCTCTCTTTTTCTCTTTCTCTTTCTCTCTCTCTCTCTCTCTCTCTCTCTCTCTCTCTCTCTCTCTCTCTCTCTCTGATGTGAGTCTGTTTTGCTAGTTTGTAGACTCAGTTGAGTTTTGTAGCTTGCGCTGCACACTTAGGTGAAGTCTTTCATTTATTTCTTTATTTCTTAATTTATTCTTTCTTTCTTTTTTTATATTCCTTTGCTTTTATGGAACATTTCTCCTGCTTGTAGCTTACCTATCGTCACCACTGCCATACAACCTCTGCTAGAAGTGCCGCATGTGTCTGTGCTTTAGTGACGGCACGCTTCATCATCATAGTCTTGTGAGAAACTTCTTTGTCAGTGAATCTCCATACATTAGGTGTTTTTGTGACTGCTGTAAAGGGGCAGTTTGCGCTGTATGCTTCCCAGAAAGTTGAGATAGTTTCAGAAAGCCATCAGGTATGTTTGGAGGATGATGTAGATTGTAAGGCGCATCGAGCTTGCTTTTGAGTGCAAATATACCTTATAGAAACTGCTGTATATTGTAATTGAGTCAAGGCTTGTGATTTGGCTTGGAAGTAGTCCCGTGTAAATGGAACCAGCGGCAGGAATAGATGGTTCAGGCGGAGGGAAATCACAGATAGTTTACATGCTGCAGGCAGGAGTTATGACGTCTGTTTTGTAGCAGCGGCTAGGTGCTTCACCGTCCGCACACACACAGATGACCTGAGGTTGATTCCCATGTGAGGGGAAGTTTTATAGCAGGCAGTAAGCAGAAGAAGAGATGTTGGTTTTTTTTTAGTGGTTAGGTGCTTCGCTGTCGCACACAGAAGATCTGAGTTCGATTCCCAATGTTCTGAGAATTTTTTTTATTGAGTAGCTTTGTCTTCCTGGTGGGATGTTGTATCCCTCACGCTGCAGGCTGGTCCTGACACGTAGGGCTGAAGCATCCTGCTTCCTGCTTCCTGCTTCCTGCATATGGATGGGGGTGTAAAGTATAGACACAGACACTTTTTTTTTCCTTGTAAGTCAGTCGGCAGGAGAAATGTTTATTTTATTTTATGCTCAGCCCCCACGTCTAGAGCTGAAAGCAGAATCCTTTTTAAAAAAAATTTCATACTGGTGTGTAGCCTTTGTTAACCACTCTCGCTGTCTCTTTACATGCTTTTGTTCACTTTCATTTGTCGTGGGTTTTGTCTGGCAAAGTTTCCCCAGAGATAACGCTCACTACTGGCATTTGGCTGTTTTGGTGGTTGGAAGTTTTTGTGTTCTTTCTTCTTATGATATCCTTTTTCAAAAATACGTTGAGCTCTGAATTGTGCCTCCCTTTCCCTCTTTGGTGTCTTTTTGATTTCTTTTTTTTGTTGTTGTATTTGTAGCACTTAACGCATAGTAGCATGTCAGATTTTGCGTGTGGGATGGTGCTTGTGGTTGTTGTGTGCTTTGTGCTTGTGGACTTATCTAACCTGTGGCTTGTGTCATTGCTTGCCTTCGGTTCTGGTAATTTCTGTAATGTCAGATATGGCTTTGGTGGAAGTGTCTTTTTCTATTTCACTGACGGCTTTTTTTGGTGTATTTTAAACTAGCAACATTTTAATGGATGGATTGTCAAGACTGAACACAGATCCCATTATTCAGTTTAGCAATTGTCGGAATCTTGCAGCAAGCCATTGGTTTGTGTTTTTTTTGGAGGTTTTGGTGTATATATGTGTATGTATATATATATATACGTGCTTGTTGAATGTGGGTACTGAGGGAGGGACCTAGTGTTGCGAACTGGTGTGTCTGTGGGAATGCTTTCTGCACTGACAGGATAATACTTCACTTTCCTTCCCCATCTCCTATCTCATAGTCTGGCTTACCCCTGGGGTACCACTGTAGATTTTGCAACCAGCTTGGCTTGATTCTCAGCTTATTGTTGTGTGATGTCTCAGTCACTGCTATTTGACATTGTCTTTCCAAGATAACACTGCATTAACACATAATTACTCATCATAATGACTAACTCTACCTGCATGGTTGGTTTGGGTTTTTTTTGTGATTTAACATATCATATTATACATCCTACAGATAAAAATAGAACGTAGCTTTGTATCATACCGTGTATGTGATTACTTTCTCTAATGTAGGATGGCAATTTTTATCCAGCATGCAATATCTTTCCAACTGATAAAAAATGCAACGTAAATGTTTTTTTCATACATCACACATGATTGTGATTACTTCTTCTAGCTTAGGTTGGCTATGTTTATCAACAGTGCAATCTCATGCCAACTGATTTAGATTTTTCCAGCAGCATGTCTATGAACCCCATGACATGCTATTGCTTGTGACCCCATACACGTTCCCCCACCCTCACCACATCCTTTATGCTGCTTTAGCTTGGCGTATTTAGTGTTTGACGTGGTGTGTCGTGTGCCACTTCGTCACTCTAGATTCACAAAGTTCTATCTGCTCAGTATTTAGTTTTGAGAAATTTGAAGTTAAAAATTTTGAGTTTCACATGTCAAGCTTCTTCTAATACAATTCTTTGAATATGTTGATGTCGATTTCGAATAATCTCACGATTTTGGTAGAGCAGATTGAACATTTGTGAGGCGTGCTGACAAAATGAGTTACTTCTCGCAGTCCACAAATGGAGATATTGGCCAAAAGTCGACACTAAGATCAAATTTGTTGATTTTTTTTATTGATGCCATTTTGTTTATTTATAATATGCCTTTCATTGTTTCATACTTATAAATTGTAAAAACTTCACCTTTAAGCGTGACGTATCTATTTCCATAGGGCTTGAATCCGAGAAGTAACTCATTTTGTCAGCATGCTTCACATTTGGTTTCTGACCTCAAAATGGCCAAAAATGTCGGATAAAACTTTGTAATTCTAAGGGAGCAAGTTGCTGCACTGTAGCGTGCTCAGATTACCATTTGTTTTACGTCCCTTATAATTTCTTCATCCTTCACACTATATATCATGTATGTTGTAAAATAGAATTGAAAGAATGAAGCTACGTTAAATGGAAATAAAAGCTTTTTAGACAATTGTGTCAGTGCCAATCGTACTCAGATGGGCTATTCTGAGCTATGAGGCTAGTTTTTTCTATGTTTTTCCTATCTCTTGAAAGTTAAATGACTTCTATTTCATTTCATATGAAAATTGACAACTGTTCCGGTACTCAACATATTGCTCAACTTGGGAAGCCCATTTTCTCATTTTCGTGTTTCCGCACCTTAAAGCCTTAATATTTTGGTCAAATATTGTTCTATTTATTGACTACTTTTTTTTAGGTAAATTGTAAGGAAAAAAGAGAGTTTTAACAATAATATTGTTAGCTTAATTTGTAAAATTTCAAACTTATGTCAGAGTTTGATTGACACTGACACAAAGTTGGTTTAAAAAAAAATATATCAGATTGTAAAGCATTTTTGTTTTCTCTACTTATTCTTTATTTGATTTGTTTTGGTGGGTTTTTATTGTTGTTGGGTTTTTTTTTGGAGGAGGTGTATACTTATTCTTCATTTATTTTGTTTTTTATTGGGGTTTTTTTCATCTGCTTATTTTTTTTTTCTGTAAAATCTCTGAGAAGGAGATTGAGTACTTGTGAAAGCATCAGTGCTCTAGAGTAGGTCATGCCTGGGGGTGTGTGGAGACAGGGAGGCATGCTCCTGCTCTGTGGTCTGCTTGCCTGTGTGACCTTTATAACACGGTTTTTCTTTTTCCTTTTTCTTTTTTTTTTTTTTTTGGTCGTATGATTTTAGTATCTCATGTTAGATTTGCTTTGTTTGGGTTTTCCTTAACTCTACATCTGTCTTGTGTTTTTGTGTTACAGAATTGGAGATTCAAAAAAGTAACCAGCAGTTGGAGAGAAACAGGTGAGAGAGAGAGAGAGAGAGAGAGAGAAAGAGAGAGAGAGAGA